CAAAACCATCGTTCGGTAAGAACGCTTACATACAACTTTGCAAAACCGAGGTTATGTGATGTAAAGAAGAGATTGTTATTATAGTCTTATTATATACATATCGTCATCTCGCGGGAGTTACGAACCAAATGTTTTTATCGGTTAATTACTAAGTCACTCGGCGTGCGAACTTCAAATAACTCTTCTAATAATAGGTACAAAGAGCCGTCTAATTGCATATCTGGTTACAAGTCTTCATAACTTCCACACAGCTTTTATGTTCTTTACACAGCTCCCAGCGATCTGCAGAGTTACCGGTTACGACCTCCAGATTATGATTAATCGTTCGAATTTCTATCTTTCTTAATGTCTTATGAGTAACCTTTGATTAGTTACAGTTACATATAATAAAATAATAATGTAGTCACGATATGGCGACGTCACTGGTTCGAGTCCAGCCGGATCGAAGGAATTTTTCTTAGTGTTCGATCTATGTATTAATACCAATAATAATGTTAATTGGACCCAAAGCCTACGCAAAAATAATTATTTCGCTCTCAGTTGTCATGATCAAATTAACAACATCAACACCTTATTACACAATTTTATTATTATTTAACTCATTATACAGCACTTCTAAAACGGCCGCACGATTTATACGAGGTTCTCATAATTTTTATCTACTTGCCATAGGATTGCACGGTTATGCAATTACTGCAACGTTATCCCGGCCGCGGAGCAGGAAAAGCATTTAAATATTTACGCAATCCACGACCTCGGGATGTCGTTGGTTGCATACAGTTCCTGCAAAACTAGTTTTAGTCAGGGATATAGTCGCAGCTGCCACAGACTTTTGCTTGAAGGGCTTTCGGGCAGTCTGAAAGAGTCGTTGTACATTGAATGTTATATTTCAGTTATTGTCAATTGCCGGCAACCACGGCAGTAAGGAACGTTTAACAGTTAGCGGCTGCCTTGCGGTGAGTGCAACGAATTATGCAATTGTTGCGTGGCAAGACGCGGAAGGCGCTGCACTCGGCCAATGGAGCACTGCGCAATATAAACACACCGCGTTTTAGCTGAGCATGCAAGTCTCAAATTATGTGATATCTCAAATATTTAATTAAAATAATCACCTCATTGAAAAGCCACGCAATTGCACGCTTATTAATAAAGAAATAATGCTAAGGAATCTTTTATCATTTACTAACATAAATAACAAAGCACTTTTAGTTTGTATACAATAATTTTATCGACATACATAATCTTTCCATCTAATAATTTAAAATAGCTCCGAAATTTACATCTACCTATAATATTGAAGTTCGTATTTTAACATAGGTAGTCGTAACTTATACCGTACATAATTCCCTCTACACTTCAGTTATATTAGTTATTGTATACAATGATTTGATTATATAGCAACAACTTACCACTACGTTTTGCGTTATAAAGAAAATATATGAAATTGAAAAATTTGTTATTTATCATTATCGCTTTAGAGGAAGTACCTGGTTTCGAAAAGTCGTCTTACGCCATGTTTTCAATTCGTCAAATTACTTGTTCATGAAATAGAAAATATTTTGGCTATTCTTGCAGAATTGTATTAATGTCTAGTCAGTCACGGACGTTACAATTTTTTTATGTGTTTGAAAATACTTTATTTCTCATTCATTAAAATTCCGCCACTGCCGGAGTGAGTAGTATAAAACTTTTCCTCCTCCGAGACAGGCAGCGGCAGACGCCGCTAATTAGACAATTAGCCATACTGCCACCTAATTTTAAATTTTAATTTTTCTTCCATCACATACTCTTCTTAATTTTTTTTTTTCGCCTGAAATCGGTGTGTATAGTTCCGAAAAAAGCAGAAATACGTTTCCACTGTAAGACCATTTTCTCTGTAGTCTATAAGAGTGACAATGTGTTCGTCCTTCAGGATAGGCTAGGCCATACTGACAGATTCAGATTTTAATTTTTCTTCAAAAACCAAATTTTGTGACATATTTTCGCCGGAAATCGGGAAAAACATTATTATAAATTCAAATCATGTCACAATTTAAAATTTTAGCAATTAAAAATTTTATTTAAGCTGCAGCCAACTTACCAGGAATTTCCTGGCTACGTTTTGAATAGTTAGATACAGTAGTGTGTTAGATACACAACTATTCAAACATGTATCTGTCTCTGGACAAGCCCGACTTATATGAGATTGCACCTATTTTTATCTGTATTTATATAGTTGTGTAAAATTTATATTCTTATTGAAATGTTGTAATGTGTGTACCACAGACCACATCTTTACTTATACTGTATTCTTTTAATTATTATGACCTGTATTGTCCTCCCTTTATTATTATTTTAATTTTATTGTATGTTGATATACCCACATCCGTGCAACATCGATCAAGGTTGGCAACTGAAAATCAGCGCGGGCTATACTGTGCCTCGCATATGCTGAGGTGGTGACCTATTCGGCGGGGCATGCAGAATAAATAGCACACAATGATTGGTTGTTTTTTGTCAAGCCTTTACTCTGTTTTTCTCTTTTTTTCATGTTATTACCTTTACCTACCTACCCATACATTTTCTTTTATGTATTTTTGCCTTCGTCGAATAAATATAAATCATTTATATGATTTTCTATTCTATGTCTTTACGGTGGCCATTTCGTCGCCTTACTTTCTCATACTCGTATCTTAAAGCACAAAGTTACTGAAATGCAAAAATGGATTGTGTATACAAATTTTGCTGGCTGATTTCACATACATTTCCTTCATATTTACACATTAGCTTTTACCTATTCTTAAAGTAATGCATCCAAATTAACACCCTTGATAAGAAATTTGAAACAAATAGAAAGTTTTGCCATCTCTTGAATAATCACTCTTTATAAGATATACGAGTTTGAGAAGTAAGGCATCGATTTTGAAACTTAAGGTTTCTTAATATGATTTTTTCTTTCAATGTGTCTATTTGAGGTTTCAATTTGTCAAGGCCATGCTGATCGCAATATAAATTAAACTCCAATGTTTATCCTTATATTTCGATCAACGAAAATGAATACGAAAATTACGAAATAGTGTAAACACGTTCGCCTTACGAAACATGCGTTTAATGATCGAAATTATTTTCCTCATTCCCTATCAAAATTTACATACGCTTTAATTAAACTAATAAACATATTATATATAACGAGAATTTATACTGTGAGAATGTACAAACTTTACTAGCAAACATGGATATCGTAAACGATCATTGAATATCACGATGTTTTACAACCATGATATTCAATTATTTTATGTGAAATTACTCCACCAGTTATATAATTATTAAACAAAGATCAAACACTAAGACACATTAATTCGATCCCGCTGTTCGAACCAGCGCCTTCAGCATACCGTGCCTGACGCTCTCCCAACTGAGGTAAGGAACGAACATGAAGGACATTATTATCCGTCTTTATGAAATTTTCTATATGCTTGTTGCAGATCTTCATTTTTTATTTTTAATAACTTTTTTGCCGTAGCGCCATCTGTGTGAAATCTATGACATATATACCGTTGCAGCAATGTAGGTACAGTCAACAGAACATCAATGTATATAATACACTTTTGTTCGCATATCGCCTCCAGTGCAACGGAACAACATTCGTCAAAGTGTAATTGATTTCCTTCCGTCTGCATACATTCTATTAAGTACGTTCTATTTTTAATATACAAACCGGCACATTCAAACGTAATCTCTACATCTTTACGTGTTAAATATCATAAAACTCCAACGAGTTAAAGACAACTCTTTATAATGGCTAACCGTTGTTATCAGAAAGGGCCAAGTAATAAGGATGGCTATAATAGACAACAATTTAAACGGTGCCAAGGTTTTCAGGCGACATGCATCACGCTCCACGTATTAATTTTGATGTATATGTAAAAAAATGTAAATAAAAACAATACTTCCTACCACCTACGACGTAGTACAGTACCTACAAAAGGCCTATCAATTTTAAGATCACAACCTGAGGCGGACCAAGTGGTCGATCTTGCACTTTGCTCTCTGCTCAAGGTCTGATGTGGTCAGCGAAGAACCTTGGGAACTTAGAAAGGAACTTCATTATTTACAAAGGAAGTTATGCAAGCGCATACCGACACCATCATTAAGAAACGACACTTACAACGAGATGTAAATCATTTTTTTAAACAGTGTAATAATAGGGCATTTGACAAGTATTGAAAATATTATGAAATAAAAAAAACCAAATTAATTATTAAAAAATGTGAAACATTATTGTGTTACAGTTAAAAATACCAACAGTAATACTTGTGATGTCTCACCATACAAAGCAACTTATTAACAATGATCGTTTTGCTAAAAAGGGACGGAACATTTCACCATCGATGTCTTTAAGCATTAGGCTCGATTTACATTGCGTCGGAACAGAACGGAATGGAAGTGTCAATTCAAGTCAAGAGACCGTTTTCATCATACAGGCGCTGTATGACGTCGACGTATGACGTCATACAGCGCCTGTCTTCGCGCCACTTCCCGCGGATCCGCCAGGCGTCGCCGACTGCAGCTGCGGAATTCTCGCAAATGCGCGAGAATTCGGCGGAAGGACTGGTTGAGAAATAAAAACTTACAGATTCACCATCAGCATGTTCAAGTGAATTGTTTGATAAAATAAAAATGTTTGGAATTACATACCCTATTGCTGTGTGGGTTATTAAAATTTTGTCCTTAAATTCTTAGGTTTTAGCGATTGTTACACATAGGAAATGAAACAATTTTCTGGGCTCTAAATCCTGCCTGACCATGACCTGAGCCTGACAGTCAGCCGTGACCATGGGACCTGTAAATGACCCGAAACGTTAGTTTGTTTGAAAAAACAAATATACGCCATTTAGATCCGAAAAAATAGTTTCCTTATCTATTTTGTCTTCAAATCAAACACAGTTTTAAATGTCCTCATATGTATATTTTTATATAAAAATCGAATGCGCTCATTCATCCATCCCCTCGCTGTACATTTCAGAGCGCAAGCGCTGGCAGCCGATTACTTCATGGATACCTACAAACTCGCATATATAAACACTCGTGTGATCTTCATTAGCATATCATTTCATTTATGTACCAACTAGTTCTATACATTTTACATTACATCTATCAAGACAATTAATCTAATTATACATGACGAGATAAAACACTCGACGTCACACATCTCCCATTTCATACGGTAGCAATTGTCTGCCAGCGCTTAGCGAGTCCACGTTGTACATTATATAAATATATAACTAACTTTTATTGCATACAGCAAATATTCAGAAAATAGCATTGGCTAGTTACGACATTTAGATAGCATTAATTACTATGTATAATTCAATAAACATAAGCATTTACAATATATCATGTCATATAGGATACAAATATTTATTCGTTTACGATAGCATCATTCAACCATTCAATACAATGTCAATTACGGAGCTACTATTCAATAAGAGATTAATTTAAGTTTACATATTTTACATTTTTCAATTACTTCATATTTTACTATCTATTTTTGCTATAATTTCAAATACTCAATGGCAGAATCACATAAAAGCAAGTGAATAACAACTATAATAAGTACGAAAAAATTCTTACATAAAACAGCTGGCACAATGAAGATCTAGACGAGTTACACAATATTACAATTAACGTTACAGCTATAACGCTATACGGCATACATGAAAATATGTACGTCATATAGCCAACAATTTACACAATAAATAAGATCATGGAATGTTATTATGATTTTGTCGTTCTGATTTCGTGGCAATGGCCAGAATAATCGGAATAGAAACAACGTTATAAAAATAATGTTTACACTTCGTAACCATAAATAATAGCAAAAATACTGGCTACTATAATAGGCCACAAGAACGTATGTGAATTGCACAAAGTCCGAGAGACGCGCACAAGTCACGAGGCAGGGGGATGTTGGTAGCCCAACATGAGGGACACCCACCGCTGTCGCTGTCGCTGACCGACCAACAGTGCACGACCGCCTGAAACAAGACAAACTCTTTCAAATGATGTAACTATTTACATAACCATGCTAGATTATGTAGTCTAGACATGCTAAAGTCCATTTTACATAGGATGGGTACTGTGACATTTCCAATTTTTATGTTGAATGCATATATTTTTAAATAATCTCTCAACCAGGTTACAGAAAGAAAAAGTAAATTTGTTATATATAATAGACCAAAAACAAACGATATTCGTTGTCCTAGGGTAATGGTTTTTTATTCAAAGTCAAAGTTTATTTATTCCATAGGTAAAATAAATTTACACTTGAAAACGTCACATTCAAGTTACTGCTCGTTCACTACGCTGACCTCCCTGAAAAGAACGAGCAAGAAACTCTAGGGATTGCTCTTTTCCAATAAACTTAAATGCTATGTATGGCATACACTTTGAATTTGTGTGGATTCTGGAGCCGTGTCGTCTTTCCATACATCTTTATCTAACACGTAGTCTTCAATTTTTTAATATGATTTTTCGATCAAAATATTTTTAATGTAGTTTTTAAACTTAGGAAATGATAAACTTAATATATGCTCCGGAATCTTATTGTAAAAACGTATACAGTTCCCCATAAAAGAGTTGTTTACCTTGGTTAAACGAAATCGTGGTACCATGAGTTTGGACTTAGCTCTTAAGGTTAATATTATGGATATCTTCTTTCTTATTGAAATTATGTATATTTTTTGAATCGCTCGTTTTTGCAATACAAATATGGTTTGAATATCTGCCGCTTTACCCCACATGAGAATCCCGTAGGATATTATACTATGGAAGTAACTAAAGTAAACTAGTCTAGCAGTACTGACATCGGTAAGCTCACGTATTCTGCGGACTGCGTATGCAGCGGAGCTTAATCTGCTGGCCAGGGAAGATATATGTGGAAACCATTGACGTTTACTGCCTAAGGTCACTCCCAAGAAGACTGCTTTATTAACAAAGTCTTACTTTATACTCTCACGTCGCCCGCCGCGAGCTAAAATGCCTGCGTGTGCCAAATTCCAAAAAGTAACCCCAAAAAAGAGTGGATGTGTTGATTTTATTTATTAAAATATAAAAAATACAATCGGGTTTTAATCATCATTATTTTTGTAGGTATGTATAGATACCGCGGCATAACACATAATAGTTGTTGTCACGGAATAAACAAACGAGTGGAAATTATTGAAACTAGTTAAAAACGCCAAAGTCATTGTCGCCAAACATTCACAAAACAAAAACAGCAAAAAGTTTTAATGTTCAAATTATATATTTGTTACGAACTCCTTCATTTTTAACATCTTTTTGTGTTATAAGCTTTTTCCTATTGTCATTGTGATGCAACCAATAGGAATGTCAAGCATTGACCTCAATGTCAAATAACAAAAGTCTTATAACAGCAGTAGAGCTCCTCGTGAAAAAGTTCGTCCACGGAAGTACTACCACCGTATCTATTTCTGCCGCCAAGCAGCAATGTGAGATTTGCTGCGTTCCGGCTTTGAAGGGTGAAATTAAAGGCACATGGGATTTTCAATTTGTCTCAGGGTGGCGGGCGCAGTCAGTGGCAATGCCCCTCAGATCTTTGCGATTTAAAGCCATTCAGAAGAGGCAACTGCAACTGCTATGGATAAGCATGTAGCTTACCATCAGGCACACGACTTGTCGTCCCGTCATTTGATATTATAAAAAAGTCTACTTTTTGAAAAAAATTGCAAATTATTGTGACAGCCGTATAATATCGTCGGCATAAATATTAAAACATTTTTGAGATATTTAAAATTTGTAAATACAATATGAATAAACTGTAACGTTTTAAAGTGTAATATTCCTTTTAATTTCCTCGCAAGTGTGATGAAAAACCTTATATGCCACACGGGCGAAACGGAAATTACAAACGTTCGAGTCATTAAGCGCCGGTGGTCATGGGGTGCAAGGAACTTGGAAAATTGAACAAAATTAATTTTTATTTATAAAATATGTTACCGCATTACTTTGTATTTTTGATTATCTCAGGTGCCATGATTTTTCATAACAGCTCTTGATCAACGATCTAATAAGATCACTGAAATGAAATAAATGTATTTCAATTGTACTTACAGTCGGCGGCTAGTGCTGCGCTTCGGCGTAGAGTGTGGTGGCGATATATGTGGTGGGTACGAAACCTTCCTCGCGTGTGTGGTGACGACGAACGCGCGTCCAACCGTCGCCAGCGTCCGTCTCCAGTACTAGCAGCCGCTCGCCGCACTCCATGCGCATTGTTGACCCCGTACCGTTTGCTACACATTTTTTATTTTACTTATTTTACTCGTCCTGAATTCTCGCTAACGATACCAAATGACAATGACAACATCTAAAATTCTTTGGGACTGCAATTTAAAATGATTATTTTTTAATTGTTACCAAATGACAATGACAACATCTAAAATTCTTTGGGACTGCAATTTAAAATGATTATTTTTTAATTGTTTTGAATTTCAAAAGATATTTGCACATTTCAAATAAATAAAAAAAGTTGTGTAGTTTTCAGGCAAGTTTTCTCTACCTAATTTTCGTGGCAATTTTTATTATTTAAATATTCGAGTACGCAGTAATTTAGGTTCTGTAACCGCAGTTACAACCCAGAACAAAAATCAGAAACCAGAAATAAAACCAGTATCGAAGAATTACCTTCAAATGGATAGAGCGCTTTGCAGTAACCTAGCGGCTGCAAGTCGGGCTCGTAATAGTAGTCGAAGTCAGACTCATGATCATTGTCGTGATCGTGGTCGTCACCGTTGGCATGATCGCCGATAGTGGCGTGTGTGGCCAACTCGCCGCCCAGGCCCGACTCAGGCGAGCCGCCGGCCACGCGTCCCGTGCCTCCCGCGCCGCACACCGACCCGCCCCCCGCACCCGCGCCTGTCGACACTGATGACTCTGACGCTGACCGTGATAGAGACTCGCTGTTTGATCCGATGCTGAAACCCAATCGTGTCACTTCAGATATTTAAAAAGTTACACATTATATCATGAAACTTTCTATGGCACATCACACTTTGATATATTTACTTGTTCAACTATAGGAAAGCCATTAAACTAGTAGTAGTAAATTCGATGTCTTCATTGTCAGTCCTATTACATATTATATAATATGTATGTAATATATACATACTATAAACAAATTAAAAAACAAATCATCAATGGGAATAGATGAAATCCCTCCTATATTAATAAAAAAAAAAAAATAAAAAAAATATACACGAACTGGTAACACCATATACGAAACTCGTTGGCCAATCCTTCGCGGAGGGTAGATTCCCAGATATCCTAAAAATATCATTGATTAAACCCATACACAAAAAAGGAGACCCCACAGATCGAAATAATTATCGCCCGATTGCATTGCTACCTACATCGGCAAAAATATTCGAAACTGCTATGGCAAATCGCCTTTATTCATTTCTGGTAAAGTACAACGCATTGCATAAAACCCAACACGGTTTGGACAAAAACATTCGACGTCGTTGGCCATTTATGAATATGACCAAAAAATTCTTGACGCGATAAATGATAGTAAGTACGCAATAGGTCTTTTGTTGGACATGAGCAAGGCGTATGATAGAGTTTGCTACAACACACTATTAGATAAATTGTATGGAACTGGTATTAGGGATACTGCGCACAAATGGTTTAAATCTTACCTCGAAAATCGTAGGCAATGTGTTGAAATAAAGGCAACTGACTTTAACTCGGGAAAAATCGAAAATATCAGATCTAAAGAGGTATTCATGAAGGGTTCTATCCCACAGGGTAGCGTATTGGGTTGCATCTTGTTTTTGGTTTACATTAATGACCTACCCCACCAACTACAAAATGCACTCTTTTCGCGGATGACATCTATGTAGTACCATGTTCCAACAATAACGAATTAAAAAATAAATTGGACTTTATATTGGACAAAATTCTCAATTGGCTAGAATGCCATAAATTAAAATTAAATCTAAATAAAACTAAATTAATTAAATTTAAACCCTTCCAAAAAGCTCCCCTGCCTCTTAACTATAATTATAATAATCACACACTAACTACTGTAGACACTGCTACCCTACTGGAACTAGATCTGGACTCACACATGAACTGGAAATCTGACCAACAAGTTATCATCATTTATATACGCCCTACGTCATCTAAAACGTGTAACTGATTTTAAATCTGCTCTTACAGCATACTATGCGTAATGTCATTCGAGTTTGTCTTACGGTGTCATTATGTGGGGAAATTCTACCTGTGTTAATGATGTATTTATATTACAAAAGGAGTGTATCAGGATATTGACAAATATAGAACAAAGAGAATAATGCAGACCTCTTTTTCAAAAATTAAGCATATTAACCTTAACAGGTATATACATACTTGAATCGTGCAAATCTATAAGAAACCATCCTACTTTATTTTCACCAAAAACTGGAATTAAACGTAACAATAGAAACCTACATCAATTGAAAGTACAATTTTCTAAATTAAAATTAGTTTGTTCAGGACCGCAAATTATGATAACTAGAATCTACAATCACATACCAGTCCACATAAAAGAAATTAAAGAATTTAAGATTTTCTCTAAATATTTAAAAGACTTCCTTATAAATAAAAGTCATTATTACATTCGAGATTTTTTCAATGAACAAAATTAATTAAAAATGCTTCGACATCCTTCTTTTTAATCAATTTATCTGTGTATGATATGTGATGATTTATTTGATATGGTGTTTACCATATTGAATAAGTCATCATAAATAATATGATTGTACCTCCATATGATGACATATGATTGTAAATATTATATTTAATAATAAGTGAGTGCCCTCTCTACTTTGCTGTGCCTTTACTGGGTGTCACATGTACACTTACAAACCACTGTACGTAAATTATTAATAAGTGTGACAATGCAATAAATAAATAAATAAATAAACATATCTATCTGTAATGTAGTATAACAAATTACCTGGTGGCTTGCGTAGGCGTAGCACCGTTGGTTCTGGCGGTTGGATGCGGCGGCGGCGCGCAGACTTGGCTGTTGGCCACGGCCAGTAGCTCTTCGAATTTGTGTAGTTGCGCGCGCAACTTCTTCAACTTATCACAACACTCGTTCAATTGACCTGCACAGTCCATATGTGATTGGAATTAATTTGAGGTCATAGGCACTAACCACAATATAACATTGTCGCAGTACCGATTTAGTGGTACACACAACCATAGCGTTGATTATACATTTCGAGTGTAAGCCGACACACGATACCATTAGTCGCCATAGCAAAACAAGGTTTGATAAGACTGTTGTACTGTAAAGTATGTATAACGCATTGATGCAATCACAAACTCGGAAACTTAAATAATATTTATTTCATAGGTAAATTACACTTGAAATCGTCACATTGATTAAACTCTACTACTTACTGAATGAGTAGGAAGTTGCTGTTTACAATTAAACATTTCCACACATTCATCATTAACAATATTTATTTTAAATATTGCGGTTCGAGAGAAACTGCAAGAGCTTAATGAATTTTTATCATCCAAGTACGCAGAAGCTGTATAATAACTCTTTAGTATAAAGTTTTTGTTTCACTATAATTTTAAATCTCATAAATGGCAAATTTAGAATAACAACCGGAATCTTATTACAAAAGCGTATGCATTATCCTTTAAATTAATTTATAATTTTATGAAAACGACTGTCAATTACAGCCAGTTTATTACTTCAGTTTATTTATTCTTTAAAAAAAAATTATATATGTGCTGTGTTGCTAATGTAAGAATGTTAGACAATAACTTGTATTAAAAAACCTATCTTCTCAGTTTCATATTCATTTCTACTAAATTCACAATCTAGTGGTAAGTATAGAGGAAAATTGTAACCCGTTGTATATCAATAGCCACAATTTTTTATAACCAAGGCAATAACGTCCTTATTTTTTTCCTACTTCATATGATTCATCGTTACAAGTTACACATTACGAAAACGATCCATGTCGGTTAAGTAAAGTAATCGTGTACTTATTTACTACATAAACATGCAAGATACATAATATTAAATACACACCTTCTACAGTCATTGGGTCGCCAAGCGTTGGGTTGGTTTCGTATACACCTTTCATCTTCATTAAACCCTCCATGGCCGCTTGCTCCTGGGCCACCTGGAAAGAAATGTGCATTCATTATTTATTCGGTAGACCTGGATGACATGACGCACATCTAATGAGGTATATGATGCAGCTTTTGCAGTGCTTACTGACACAAAGTGAAGCTGAACACATCGTAACTTCAACCGAGAAGACGATCAGCTTTCAATGTCGTGGGATCCAGTCATCAGCAAATGTAAGCGACATCAAGTATCGCCCGACAAGCCACCGAATATCGTGACTGTTGTGTGTCGGTCTAGTGACAACCCTAGTGCAAAAATAAATAATGAAGACCAAGTACGGGTAGTTAGAAAATCTCGCACAGCTAGAAGGTCAACATCTTCTGGAGTCGATAGACGTTGCAACACGTCCGAAATGTCGAGGTAAATAAAATTTACACTATTAAGTCCCGATTTTTTAAAATCAAATCATCACCATCAAACCATCTATACGTCCCACTCCTCAACTCGACAAAACCTTATAATGCGTAAGTATCCCACTACTTGTTCAAATGTTGTTCAATTAAATTAATAGATTACATAAAACCATAATAAAAACAGTCCAATAAATGACGATCTGGTATATTTTTCTGTTATATATTGAATAGTTAACAAAACAGTCAAACAACTTTATTGTAAAAGTAAATATAAATAAAGGCTGATTCTGCAACTTGCCTGCAACAGATCAATTATAAAAACAATTGGGCTAACCACAAACTGATAATGGGCCATTACCGTAAAGGAAAACAAACAAATAATACGACAAAGGTGAGTTCTGTTTTACCTGTTTTTGTAGCTCGCTAACTTTGGCCTGTAGTTTTTTCTTCTTCTGATTCGGTGGTAAGTCTGAATAATCCTCCTTTCCATCCACAGACATGTTATTCTGAAATAGTACCAATACATTATCAACCCACTTTCGTTTTAGTTGTATCATGAAGTCACAACACACATTACCCAACGCCAAACCAAGTATTTTGTTATAAATTATAATATTTTTGTTATAAATTATAATATTATTAGCCAGATGCTTACTTCAAGCCACTTTAGTAATCTACATCTAAAATTATCCCACAACCAAAAGGTTAATTACGTTAAATGTTTTGGTACTTATTTGTATTCTATTATGATTACACAATAACGCAAAACCCGCCTAATACTACTAATCAACCAATAAATATATGTATTCATAAAATACATATAATTCATTTATAAAATATAAGTCTTACGTCGTTACGTCGATCACATAGTGCGCTCAAAATAAAAGAAAAAGCCGTGCAAGCAAGATAGTTAGTTAAACGAAGCGTTATGAAGCCACACGGACACAATTCAAGTTTCACATAACAACGTTTATTGCTCTTTACATTTTACATGTTATTTGTAAATTATACTTTTTCGTTGCAACATATAAAATAATCGCAGTAAACATGACAGAAGTAAAAACTCCAAAAATCTATAAGATATATTTATATCACGATGATACGATAAGATCGACTACGCAAAGAAAAATTCCTTCGATCTGACTCGACTCGAACCAGTGTCTGTTGCCATGCCGAGGCCACTGCTCTAAACCAACATATCTTAGGAATTTCTCTGTGTTTATTTCAAATTTTAGTACAGTAATTTTCAGGTAAGTTTTTTGTACTCAATTTTGGTGACAATTTCTTTTTGTTTAAATATTTATGGAAATATTATTTAATATTCGAGTGTGGTAACCTGAAATATTCTTTAATATTTCACGATGATATATTCGAGTAATTAAATAATAAAATATTATACCAAAAATGAGTTCAAAAAACTTACCTGAAAATTACTGTTTCGCCACATGTACACATACCATTGTAGCATTAATTAATACATTATCATCAACTACACACATCAAGTGTCTATGGATTAAGCAATTTTTAGTCAATAACTGAAAATCTGATTTCTAATTTTTTTTTAACATGGTGGTCAATGTCATAATTAAAAAAAATATATATTTAAGCATGTAGAGATATTGTTATTTAATTTTAATATTGAAATCACATATTTAAAAAAAAAACGTTAGTCCCTAGACACTCAGAGTCGTATTCCAGCACTCTACTCAATGCTCAAGTCAGGACTTGAGTATGATTTCAAGCACTAGAAATAAATACTCAAGTCCTGACTACGTGTATTTATGTCCACAGCTGGGCGCGGGCCGGAGAATTTTCTGTTTTCAAGGGCTTTGAACCTTAAGCAAGCAGGTTTCACCACATGTTTTCCTTCACTGTTAGTCCCCAGGTATTCAAATTGTGGACCTCTCTATTAAGAGGCAACCGTCCTCTCAATCTCTATCAAGAGGCAACCGTCCTCTCAATGGGCTAATATTATCGTAATTTCATCATACAATTCACATTTTCCCACGCTGTACCCAAGATAGGCAATTTTGCTTGAAAATGTGAGTACTACACGCGAGTTAGGTAATAGTGTTTCAAACAATACTGTACACCATCTGGTGTTTACGTTTATCTTCGGAGCTCTGGAATAATAATATAATGTAGTTAAATAGTTTAGAAGAAAAAAAAACAGCGAACACTAGTGTAGTAATACACGTATCACAAATTATTAAAAGTTAGTTATTGTAATTACCCTAACTCCACGCATATGGTACAATGCAATACAAGCTTAAATTTGCTTATGGGGAAATCTCAACTATTATGAATATGCGTTAATTTGAGATGTAAAACGTAAGAGCAATAACGTAGTTAGATATATCTGTGCAGCAGCACTGACCTTGATCGAGTTGCACGCCTCGATAATCTTCTGTAGCCAAAGCGTTAGCGACGACGCGGCATAGAGCAAACAAACAATGTTATAGTGCCGATTCACAGCGGCGCGAGTATTTGCCGCTTATGTACCAATAATGGACTTTGATTAGAGAGAGATCTCCCGGATTTTTTACATAGATTTTTTAGTACATACACTACAGTAGATGAACCGCCACATTAGCAATTATGCAAAACGTATGGGATGTTTTAGAAATGCGCCGTACTGTCAACCAACCGCTAGATCTATTAAAAAGATAATTAAAAAAATTTGATAATGAAACTGTTCCCATATTTCGAAAATAATAATAGTGCCAGACAACCAAACCAACTACCTGGTCTCAAACTAGGAAATTCCCTGTACTATGGGTACCAGAGCTACGAAATTCAATTCCGGGGCACTATCTCTGACACCTACACCAGGACCAATTTCGTTTCTAAAATTCTTTTTTTTTTTAAATTACCCAATTGGTCCTACCGGGAATCGAACCCGAGGCATGCTCGTCTAGCGCCAATAGCGCTGGGCCAAAGAGGTCGTCTAAAATAGAATACTTCAACTTTATGGAAGCTAAAAGTATCAAGGGGAAAACTACAAAAAGTAAAGAGGAACATATCGTCGTTATACTGCGAAAACCAATTACCCGAAATTTTTTAATTTTTTTTTATTGAAACTAAATGACGGGACGAACAAGTCGTGCGGCTGGTGGACAGCGACATGCCTGTCCATAACAGTTGCAATGCCTCTCAGAGCTTTAACTCGCAAAGATCTGAGGGGCACTGCCACTACACCAGCCCCCTTGAGACATAGATTGACAAGTCCCAAGTGCCTGTAATTTCACCAGCATCCTTAACTTCAAAACCGGAACGCAGTAATGCTCACGTTACTGCTTGGCGGCAGAAACGAGTGGCAATACCTCCCTGGACGAACTCTTTCACAAAGAGCTCTACTGTTACTAAAATTACATTGAACTACAGGAAAACGCTACATAATTGCTTATGTAAAATCCAAGTATTTACATTGTTTCGGAATAACATAAAATCTGAAGTCATCTGTTACAAATTAACGTGGATAACCATGGTATTTGTCTTTTTGGTTTGTAAATATTCGTCGTTGATATTTCAATTGCATTTATTTCAAAATCTATTTTTTGTGAAATAATTGTTTTGCCCAGAACAACGGCGATATAGTTTCATATGTACTCTAAAACAACAATAAAGACATACACAAAAACTGCTCGTATTATCTCGAGATATTTTACAACGGAAATGAGTAACTATTGCGTTAATGATAAGGATAAGGCAATGTCTGATTGTTTAATAACGTTTTCATAGTAACTTTAAAGCAATGTAGGTATTTCTTTTCAACCTAAGTCAGTATGAGCAAAAAAAATTGTTCCTATCGGCACATAAGTAGCAAATACACACACTGCTACAACTTAGCACAGCAGGAGCTGTTCTGCGATAATATGGGCCTTAGTTTCGCTATACAGAAGACGACTTTTTTATGTAGTAAATATAGTATAACTGTGTAACAAGCAAACAGTGGATTTGATTTGAAGTATTTATTTGTAAAAATTGGAAAAAAAAATTAAAACCAATAAAATAAAAGGTTCAACAAACGGTCAACATTGTACGAAAATACAAAATATTTTTATTGCTGTCGAAATTATTTCAATATCATATATTATGTTTACCTGCCACACAGTTATTTACGACACATGAAAAGTCGACGTATGTACAAATAGAAATTCCATGAAACCGAAGGCGTAGACAAAACCAATGAAGATGAGATTAGAGTGAGACCAGTCGCCATTCCACAGACGAGGTCTCAAGCTACACGCAACAAAATGGCACTGGCAAAGAACATGTAAAGTGATTAGGGATGAAACCAATCAGAATATTGAACATTTAGGCTCGTATTAATAGGGTTTCAAGCTGTACCATTTCGATATGTACTATTAGGAATCAAATTACAACTGTCTGGAGCTAAAAACACTAGCAATGCTTGTTATTTAAAGATGTTTTTATATTTTAACTAAAAAAATTAAACAAAGTCCAAATTTACACTTAATAGATGTTAATTTATTATTACGAGCCACAAAATAAAACAACTAAAGAAAAAAAATAAGATTCAAACGAGAATTGTGTGTAAAATAAAAGTAAGAAAAACTACGTTGTGTCGTCATGCTGAGAGGACCCTCCACCGGGCCGACTTACTTTGTCCGTGAGTACGGCAGCCGACGCCAACCAATCAAATCAATCGGATGTTATACGTGAACCCATGTTAAGGGGGTATCGGGAGTAACAAACAAAAATAAATTAGTACCACCAAATAATAAAATTCACTGGATTTTAGTCATTTCCCATTGCGATATATTGTCTAATTGACAATATCATTGACTATAAACCAGTTGAATAAATATGACAATTAATTATACGAATAAATAAATGAAATTCATATAATTATTATAATTACGTCATATAACGTAACAAAAAAAGCATGCGTAACTTATAGAACATTCTGTAATATTCGTAAAAATTTGTATATATCACAAAGGAAGCCATATGAAGCCCAATAACGTGAAGCACAGCCCCAACCTTAGAAATGCGGAAGATAACATACATAAAAATGTAAACATTAAACAAATATGACAAACTTATCAACAAGTGTCAACAAAAGACTATACTTTTCAATGTTTTGATAAATTTATTGTGATTGTAACAGTATTAAAAATGAATTTAACTTTTGTTGAGACCTCAAGGTAAAATATGTTATCTATCTACACCAATTACGTAAATAAAATACTAAGGTATAGTAAAAAAGATTTTTTTTTTAAATAAAAAATATCCCTGCAAGCACATATTACTATTTCCTTGTAAGTATTAAAATTAAGGTATAAAATCACAACATGTAATATAATAGTTGAAGGCATGTCAAGTGTTGACTCTCACCTTGTTGGAGCTGAAGATGGAGAGTAGACCACCGCGTTTTTTGATACGATGCCCGGAGACTGTGCCGCGCGCCGCTGTCAAGTGATTATGTGGATGGTGAGGCACAGAGTCCGTGCTATCCACACCCCCGCGTTGTTCCTCAAAAGGAATGTCTTCAGGAGGCATAAACCCGGATTTGTACCTATCTATTACTGCCTGTGTGTCCTGCAAGCATTAAAGAAATTCTTCTAGAATCCGAAAAAAAAGCAAAGTTAAAATTATGATTATCATATTTATTGTCAATCTTTTGATCAAAATTTTGCCTTTATGTAAATTGCCAGAGCAATTCCGGTGCAATAAAATCTGCCTGCCCTAAAATACAACAGGTCACATTTTTGGAAAGTTACTCCAACTGTCAATGGTCATTCAAAATCGTTTTATAACACAAAGCTAGCGCAGGCGATTAAATATGCTATCTTAATTCTTCGCATAAATTGTAGAATATTTACCTCTTTTTCGTTAATACTATTCGCTGCTTGTTCCATTCCGTCTAGGCACTGCATGATTATTGGAAATACTTTTCTCTCAACGTCAACTGAACTGAGCATAAAATTCTTTATGTTCTTTATTCTTTTCTCGTCTATATCCTGAAAACGACAACATGTAAACAAAATAGTCAAATACTTCTAAAATAGAAGAAAATTAACAAAGAGCATGTTTCTATTTGACCCTGTTGGAGGCGTGCCAGAACGCATGCCAAACTACTGTACTCGGAAAGGAGAGGCGGACATTTTGCCGAATTGTTCACGTAAATGTTACTGGAGAAAGGCCATATAAAATAACATTCTAATAGTTTATTCTGTCAATTACCAATAAGTGCGTAAATGAAACTATGATTACGTAAATGGAAATGCCAAGCTTATGAATTGGTCCCTAATTTTCCCTAACTCTGTCTTTTAGCCCCAGTGAGTGAAGTTTATACGCCATTGACAGCTGTCTTTTATTCTATGACCGAGTTTTATTATTTATTTATCCAAATATTTACCTTTCAACCAATCCAAAACAAATTGTTGTTATTAAAGGCAAGAAACATGATGATATTATTTACATGACGCATGCGCCTTCAAGGCAAGTGTACCAACAATAGTGGACATTTCTAATGCATACACATACCTATGTTTTAATGTTTATATCTTATGAGATTTGTATAAAGTTTCAAAAGCACATGATGAAAGATATGTGCATATCCTCCAAAATATATTAACCTAAGCAAGACGGTAAATAATGGCAACATCTCGTGAAGAACATATCAATGATCAAAAAATGACATCATTGCAAGAGTAATAAAAATACACACTAAGATTCGACTAAATTTTAATAACTTCCATCTTCTCTTATCAATGGAAACCTGTTTGACATTTCTTATTCCTACTATCATTCATGTAATTTGCACTGTTGATTTAGCTAATCAATAAATAAACTAGTTGACGTGTTACCTGTAACTGTTTGAAGACATGTGGGAGCCTCTGTTCGTAGTGCTGTCGCTGCGCCTCGTTGGTTTTACGCAGCTGGTCTGCATACTCATGCTTTGCGTCTTCGCTCGCTTGGCTCCGGAGTTTCATGTTCGCCTTTTGCTTCTCTACCTCTGCTCGGCTGCAATGACCCGATAATTTTATAATTATTATGACTTCTTTTATAGATATGTCAGAAGTTTAGGCAAATTCACTCTTAAATGAATCTAATTAGCATTAGTTTTTTTTAGTTTATAAAAAAAAATCGAACCCGCAACACCTTACAAAAAATTCCTCTCCATCCATCGTAATTTAACCACTTCAGGCCAAGACGTGACGAACTCATATGAGGATCGAGTTCGTACCAATAAATATATATAATATATAAATATACCTCGTGAATAAAATGGAGCTATATTCTAGAAAGTAAAGCAATGTGACTTAACCATATCACGTCACACGTCGTATTTCATCAGTCTAACCTCAAACAATTTCAAAATAACTGTAAGTTGTTTAATGTAACCTTTCGCCCACCCCACCCTTTAACCAACCCAGGCTGTAAAATGAAAGTTACACTTTGAATGAATGGAGACAAAAGTCAAGGCTTCGAGTAGCTGATACGTAATTTACATTACGTATGATAAGTACTAACCTTAAATTGAGGTCTGCGTCTGCCCTTTGGAAGGCATCGAGTGCCCTTTCCGATTCCCTCGCGGCGCGCTCGTAAGCTCTCCGCGCTCTGTCCAGCGCCCCTATCGCTGAATTTAGTACTGCCATCTGTTTTGCACCCTCATTCAAATGTTGCTGTAAAATTAAAATAAAAGAAGATATAAAGCAGTAATTAATATAGGAATAATATAGAATGAGACGTTCAACTTCATACAAAAGCTTTTTATTCTTTTTTTGGATTTTTTAAATTGATACCAAGTGACGCGACGAACAAGTCATGCGCGTGATGGTAAGTTAACACGCCTGTCCATAACAGTTGCAGTGCCACTCAGAGCTTTAAATCGCAAAGACCTGAGCGGCATTGCCACTGCGCCTGTCACCCAGAAACATAAATGTGCCTGTAATTTCACCAGAGACTCTTACCCTTCAAAACCGGATGCACAGTAATACTGACATTATTGCTTGGCGGCAGAAATAGGTAAGATTAGGTCGGACTGGACGAACTCTATCACAAGGAGCTCTACTGCTAATTCTTCTCGTCCAGAGGAAACATTTTTTATCCAGTAGGGATTTGTGAAACATACCTTACTTATGTGGGCAGTGTAACTTATTATCATAATAATTAGACATATTTATTTCCGTACATGTAAGATTGATTCGCAATAATATCATTTACATATTACACTAGTTAATACCGTAAACAAATAAACGCATTGTATCTGTTATCATTTCCTGTCATGTGTCATATCCCTCGCATTTGTCATGAGTTTATATTATTATATTCTTAGTGAAAGAATCTGGATAATACTGCGTCTTCAGTTTAGCCAAATGGATTCTCCATACGCGAAGCGTTACATAAGTAGTATCAATTGAGGCGAAAAAAAAGGAACAAGACTGCTGCTAATAATTACGTTCTTTGAATTGTTTAACATACCCAGTAAATGATATACATAATGGTACCTTTCTCTCCTCCCTCAATTCCTTAGCAAGCAAGTGCACTTCCCTGACGACATTTGACTGCAGATTTTCGGCGACCACCTCGCGCTGACCCGCGAAGTCGCCTAGCTCTTGAAGCAACTGTCTGAATGCTTTGCATGCTGTGTACCTGTACACGAAATAAATACATTTATTTTAATGACTTGATATCAAAAAAATAGTTTTATCTGTCTATGCTGATGATTTCCAAAATGGTCTATTACGACCCCCAGAGGTCCACGCCAACTTACAAGGGGTTCAACGTCAACAAAAAAGAAATAGGATGTGCACGAGACGTTAACGAGACGAGAGTAGAATTCATTTAGGCAAGTCGTGACTAAAATTTTGGCTTTCCATACAGGAAATAATCCATATTACACAGATTAGTATCTATGTAAATACAAAATACTTTTTTATAATAGACATATAAATTACCTACACATCACAACAAACAAGATATTCGGTTAGAAATATATACAAAACTTAACATCAATTATGTTCTTTATAAGGTGTCTCACTAGCACTGTGTCAGCTGTCAAACACACATTTCGCACCCCTCATCTTAGACTATGGAAAGTAAAGGACATGTTATGTTGGCATATATAAATTAGACGTTATATGTATATGATGCATTTCGACGTTGAAAACATAAACATGTTATTGTCTTTGTTTAAGTCTTGCATGCAGTCTTAAGCCAAAAGAGATAGCATTACATTGGTCTGTGTCGAACACGGGAATCGAAAATACGTAACGTCATCTTAAATGCCAACCGTGTCCATTTCGCAGTACATGAGGTAAATGATACGGTTGTCAAAGGGAAGTACATCAAATGTCAAAACAAATGTTTTCCGAGTGTTTTATAGAATTATTCGCATATATTGTAATAAAATGGACAAAAATATTGACAGTGAGAACAATTAAGTATTAATAAAATTCGTCGCTGCAGCATTACGGGATGTGGCATTTCAAAAAGCGAAGATCGACCGAATGTAACATTGTACAGGCACGTTTTAATTTTCTGTCTATAAATCACACAAAAGCCCAAATATCTCAGTTAGTTAGACATAATTTTTTTTAATATAATAATAACGCACACACTCAACATAGCCCCGCACTAGGGAAAACCTGTGTCGCGGGTGCCATGGACACACACATAGACAACCACATATTACACCCAAACTCACGAGAGAAATAAATGTAGGTCATACAAATATTTCGCCCGGCCCGGGAATCGAACGTGGGACCTCTGCGTGGCAGTCCGACATGGTAACCGTTCGGCCACGGAGGCAGTTGTTGGCAAGTGGAGGCAATTTAAGTAGTTTATTCATAAATCTTGTCAAATTTTGCTTTGGTTTATTCAGATTGTCTGTTTGTTTGTATATTTTGATGACTGTTATTAACGATTATTTCGAGATAGTGTTGTTCTTGGAAGCGTACATATTATCGATATTCTGTTATTAAAATAATTCACTACGAGGTTTTTATTATTTTACTACTATTATTTTTACTATTTCAAGTTTACCTACAAATCAAAAAAGGAAAAAGAATGGTTGAAAATCATACCGCCGTAAAACAGTGCCAAATATAAACATTGAATCAAAGACCATCTTCATTTATTCACTTCATTTTGAAGAGTCAAATTTTAACATAACTTTGAATGTAACTAGATTACATGATAATGCAATTCCGTCATTAAGTTAATTGGTAAATAACTTTATATTTAATTTAGAATAAACAAGACCCATTTACTAGGCATTCTCAGTTCCTGAAAACAAAATTATCCACTCGTTTTCGATTTTATCCCACTGACAACTCTAACTACTAAAAATTCTTATTTTATAAAGTACAAAATTTGCAATACAAAAACCATGTTGGTTTAACGTTGCCGGGTGAAGGCCAATACCAACGTGTAGACAGCCTATTTGCCTTGCCTTGCCTTGCCATCGTTCGGTGTCACTCGCCTAGCTAACTGAGTGAAGGCGAGCGCTAACGTGTATAGAGCTCGTTTGACGTGGCTTGTCACAACTTGCAGTCGCTGGTGACTACTTGTCTCACTTCAGAGAAGTGTCGATTTTTCTGCACAAATCAAAGGCGTTCGGCCAATAGTAGTCAATTGACATTGTATGATCAGACATTTGCATGCTATTTAATACATGCGAAACACGTTTATAATAACACTGTCTCTTGTTACATCTCCTGTTATACAATGTTTTAAGCAAATAAACGTATGATAATAATATTATTATTGATAATATTACTACTTTCATTTATTTCCAAAATAAAATGGAAGTATTAAAGATTCCCTTAAATCAGTCACTGGTATTAATTCTATACCAATGCATAAATACAAAAAAGCTAACACTATTTGGAATCTCAAAAAAAAAACTCAAGTTTAAAAATTTCTCTATGAAAAAATTAATCTTGAGGTTGGAAATATATAAGGATTAATATTTCAAAGTTTTCTCTTTTTTAAATACTCTCAAATTACAAATATTATTTTTTTTCTGTGCAAATTCACTTTTCGTAATATTTGAGTATGTTTGAAAAACAATAAATTCAAAATTTCATGTGACATTCCCGGATATTCCCATATAACCTACAATATTCCCAAATGGAATATTGATCTAAATCAATTAAATGTCTGCATGTCGATAATGACTTATCGATAGATTATGGTACGATACTAAAGAAATCCGCCATTTGTTCGTTCAATTTTTGTTCAGGTATAGGTAGGTTTGCACATTCATTCCGTAGTTAAGGCCTTTCTTTTATTTTTTTTCCATCCTCTAAGCCCCTCATGAAAAAATGACATAAGCGAAGTTACGTCAAAAGTGTTTAATGAATAACCGTGACCATGGGACCTGTAAAGGGCCCGAAACGTCGGTTTGTTTGAAAAAACAAATATACGCGATTTAAATCCGGAAAAATAGTTTCATTTCCTATGAATAATGAAGATTTTGGATGTAACTTCACTATTCTTGCATAAGGGGTACGCGATTTGATGTTGATGATTTGTAACAAATTAAATATTAGTCTGGCAGGGTCTACGCAAAACAGAAAAAATTGGCACATGGTTTACAACAAAAAAACCTTTTTTGGGAACCTCTGACCTATACAACGCCATTGTAGGTTTTAAAGAAACGACTGCGGACGGACCGAATTCCAAAATATTATAAATGCGAAAGTAACTGTTACACTTTTTACGCCTAAACTGCGTAACCAATCTTGATGAATTTTGGTATACAGATAGACCTAGGAGAAGGATATAGGCTACTTTTTGTCACAAAAATAAATTTTAAAAGTGGTGAAATAGGTGGATGAAAGATTGTACGGATGACCAATTCTCAACCAGTAGAATTAGCACGACAGGGCGTGACTAGCGCGAGAGCGACATAAAGCGCGAGATACTGCTTTCTCATATAGAGATGTTGCGCTTTATGTCGCTCTCACGTAAGTCGCGCATTGTCGTACTACACAGTACAGAACTATTCCTCAAGTATGTCATAAGAGTTAAACAATGTTTCAGCGTTTTTGACCAATTACCCCCAAGATAAAATAGGGGAAGAGTAGACTAGTCGAAGTACTTATTATACGCAGGCGAAGTCGCGGGTATTAGTTAGTTCACCATAAAAAATAGTAGAAGTAAAATAGTAGACTCGAAAAGACAATTTCGGACTGCTCGTCATAGGTAGTATGGAGACGGTCGGAAGGATTCAGTCTTAGTTGCTAGTGACGGTCTTAGTTGCAGTACACTACGGTGTGGCATTGTATTTGGGAGGCATAGTTCAGCTTAGGACATCTTCGGCATAGTGATAATAAAAATTCATTTTACGCTGTCCAAATAATTGATACAATTTATCGTTCTATATATAATTCCTGTTCAAACTGAGATAAGTGAAGTGCATCGATCCAGTGTTATCACAGCGTAGTACATGAACTGAGCTTTCGAACAGATCCGAGTGGATTTGGTATTGGATTGAAGCCAAATAGGCTACAGACTGGGTGGAGCCCAAGTGCCATTAAAATTATCGACACTTGGCCTTGATACGTATCAGGTGGTGTTGACTGCTATAAAGATGATATTATTAACTGCCTCCGTGGCCGAACGGTTACCATGTCGGACTGCCACGCAGAGGTCCCAGGTTCGATTCCCGGGCCGGGAGAAATATTTGTATGGCCTACAATTATTTCTCTCGTGAGTTTGGGTGTAATTTGTGGTTGTCTATATGTGTGTCCATGGCACCCGCGACACAGGGTTTCCCTAGTGCGGGGTTATGTTGAGTGTGTGCGTTATATTATTATTATTATTTATATGTCAAATCTAGTTGTCAATATTATTGGCAAAAGTACTTGGTTATGATTTTTAATACAAAGATCGACCACACGAAAAATTCTTTCGATCTGACACGAGCCTGCGTCTATCTGTACGCCAAACTAGGGCCGCAAAAAAGTACTTAATTATAAAAAAGTTTATTGGATACTAAAAAGCAAATAATAGTTTTGATAATCGTTCGAGTCAACAAAAAAAAACGATATACTTACTGATATTCGTCTTCTTCTTTCCTTTTTGGTTGGTAGTTTTTGACAAGTCTCCTTAAAAAAAAAATTCAAAATTAGAAATGAATTATCGAGTTCTTAGGTTTTCGCGATTGTTACACATAGGAAATGAAACTATTTTATTCAAACAAACATGTGGAATAATGAATTCTACCTACAAATCGACGGTATAGCGATGGGCTCCCCGGTATCGCCCTTTGTTGCCGATATTTTCATGGAAGATTTCGAGGAGCGAGTTTTACCCATGGCCCCAGCTAGGCCGAAGATTTTCAAACGGTACGTTGATGATACTTTCACAATATTACCTAAAGATAGCATACCTTCTTTCTTGGATCATCTTAATTCTTTTAATACTAAGATCCAATTTACTATGAAACAAGAGAATTGTGGTACTTTAGCTTTCTTAGATGTTTTAATTAAAAGAAATCCTAATAACACCTTAGACCATACTGTATTTCGAAAGAAAACCCATACAGATAGGTATCTCAATGGTAATTCCCATCACCATCTTAGCCAGTTAGCTATCGTGGGCAAACCTTTGTTTCAGAGAGCACATGGTGTCTGCGACAGTAATCATCTGGCAGGGGAACTTTAGCATATAAAGGAAGTCCTACATGCGAATAAGTTGAAGATTCCACGCCAATGTCGCAGGCCCCGTGTGAAACCGCCAACAGTCGAGCGAAGACCTGCCATTTTACCTTACGTAAGAGGTGCTACAGACAAGATCGGAAGAGTCCTCAGGCGTGCATCTATCAAGACCTTTTTCAAGCCCCTGAGGAAGATTTCTCAGTTCCTACGACCCGTGAAATGTAACATCCCCTTACAGGAGGCAGGAGTTTACAAGCTTGACTGTGAGTGCGGTCTCCTTATATTGGACAAACGAAGCGAAGTATTTGACCCGCGTCAAAGAACATACAGTTGATGTCAAACACCGTCGCGTAAACAAGTCTGCAGTCTGCGAGCATG